TGATAACTACATCTATACCTGTGTTAATTCTGCAGAATTATAAAATGAATGCACCTCTGTGCCATCTGAGGAAGAAATAGGTCCCATCGTAGCTTTCTGTGCCGGATTGTGTCGGCCATGTTGATGAGCAGTGCAGTGTAAAAGTTGTTGTCTGGCGGCTGTCCAGTTTAGCTAACTATCTCCGGCTCTGCTGATTCCACTTGGACTGGACAAAGTTTGGCATTACTGATAAAGTTGGCGAGACAGTATTTGTGGATCCCGGCACATCTGTCCTCCGCTGAGCAGGTGTTTTCATGCAGCTGTGCTAACGTTAGCACACAGTAAAACAATGCACACATCCTCCCAAACTGTCCAGACCACAGCAACTGAAGCAGACACAATCTAACTTGGTCTGATCAGTTGTCATAGCCAAACATGACTGGTGTGGTCTGCCCTGTAATTAGATTACCAAGATTTAAGGAAACACACGACATTATGAGGATTTATATTTACATACACAGAGGTGACTTTGCTGGCTGTCATCTCTCTCATCCTGAATGTATTACAATGAGAAGGTGGAAGGTGGTGGAGAAAGAATCAGCGGTAAGAAAGAACACCTCACCTGTTTGTTCATGATATATATAGATAAAAGGGTTGATGACGGTGGAGAACTTGGCCAGCAGCGATGGCGTGATGCTCGCCTCTGGAGTTTAAAAGGTCAGGTGGCCCCAAAGGTCGAGAGCAGAGCTGCGGACCCCGTTATGGCAGCCAGCAAACCAGGTAGCACACCACCATGGTGATGACCATCACCAGCACCCGCTGCTCTCTGCGACGGGTTCACCACCGAACTCACGCTGCGGACCTGGTAGGAAAGAGAAAAAATCTTTATTGGTGCATTGGAACAAACAAAAATAAACTAAACGGACGATGAGAAAAAACAATGTTGGTACAAGTTTCAGCAATTTATAGAGCCCTACTTCTTCTCTGTCACTGTTCTGTACCTACGGCCAGTTATATAAATCCGAACAAACTGCTCCCCAGCTATAGCGCACACACCCTTACAGCCCAAAAACACAGGCTCTGTTGTGCTTGCAGAGAAGACAGCAAACAATTCGATTAATCATAATTAGTCAGTCGACAGAAAACTCTATTTAAGACTGATTTAATGCTGTTTTTGTCATATGTGATTGTGGTATATGATTGTATTCTTGACAATATTTGAGGTGACTCAGGTGTTTTAGAAAACCAATAAAAGGCATCAACACTTAATCATGCAGCTGTAGAAAGCAGTAGCTGTGTATGCATGACAATAATATAGTTTTTTACCTTAATAACAGAATCAGTGAAGTTGAAATAACAAGGGAGACATCCCTGTTTCTGAATAAATTTGATTTGATTTTTTACTCATATAAAACCCATCAATAAAAAAAGTATTCATCTATTTTATAGCACACCCTCTCAGGTTTGGGGGAACAACATACTGTAATTTACTGGTAATTCAACACCTAAGTGAGCAAAGGTGAGGTGAGTCATTCACATCGCCCATCATTGAGTGAAAATAGTAGTCCAGCCTGCAAAACCTGGATTTATGAAACAGTCTGCAGTCGGAGCACTTTCCTTTGTGGAACTCAAGCACAACCAAGCACCTGAGTGACAGCAAGAAAGATAGATCAGTGACTCTAATGATAGATTTCCCCCGACAACTGAACTAAATCTAAATATAAATTTTCATTGCCAGGCGCTGCACAGCTGAACTGAACATTTAAACCCACACCAATCTCCCATTCATACGTATTGGCAACACCATTTTAAAGTCAAAAATAAACCAAACCGAGAGATGATAGAGGAAGATGAGAAATATGCTTTGATTTTGGGGCACGATTAGATTATGTTATGTTAATCGTTTGAACTTGTGCATCAGTAGCAAACTCCAAGCCAGGAGTTAGGAGAAGAGACATACTCCCAGCGCCAACTCTCTTCCAGGGAAAGTAGCCGACTCAATGCAGCCCATTCATGCAAATGTACAATATCAAGCTATGTACTGTATCCATGTGTGTTTTCCTCGTGGACCAAAAGTAAAACTTGCCAAATATTCACATTTGCATTTAGCCAAAATTGTGTTGTTGTATGATAGCAACTGTGAGCAGGGATCACTCTTGAAACTCTCAAGCTTGGTGATGAATTCATAGATGCTGTATCCAAGAACCAATATTTTCTGTATCGTATCAACAATCTTTGGTCATTTTTGGAAACATAATTTTTTTTATAAATAATAAAAATGTGAACGTTTCAAACAGCAAAACATAAAAAAAAAAAAAGATTAAATATAAATTTGTTCATTTTTGATTCTAAGACGTTCCTCAAAACAACAAGAGGGAGAGTTTTCCAATGAGTGTCTGATTGCAACTTTATTACTACAAGACAGTTCAGCAGTATAAGGTGACTTATATGTTTGCTGTGATTGATTACCTATCTGTAGAAAGTTTCAGGTCTGGGAAAATTGATTCTCACACCACAAATTAAAGGAATTCAAACAGAAGGCGGACTCAACTGACTCAACCTTTCTTTTCCACTGCAGATAGTAACGCTCTCAATGCAGTGTTGTCACTATGGCGACGACACACAAAGCTATGGTGACATCATCCTCAATGTGACACACACATGAACAATGGAGGTGATTGAAGGGATACTGAACAGTGAAATGTCTGCATCTCCTCGATTGACCATGGCGTGGTTTTACGGGCTGCCATACTAAAAGAATTATACAATAACAGAAATGTGACAGGCTACATAAGTGGTGTACAGTCGCTTGGCTGTTAAAAAATGGCGGGTTTTTTTCCAAAACGTCCCACCTCGCACAACGATGATGCACCTTTCAGTATCGCCTTAGCTCCTTTGAACCCTCAGCAGAGGTGGTACCAAAAACAGCAGCATGCACCAGGTAATATATCTACAACTTCTGCCAGATGGAAAACCAAAAGAGTAGAGTCACGTAGAGTCGAGTCGAGTTAAGCTGGCACCATGCAGTGGAAACAGTCTACAAGAGTGTTTAACCCAAAATATGTCCTGCCAGTCCTGTCAAGGTGCAGAGGAGCTGCCATCTGTTCCATACGGTCTTAATATTTGAGCTGCCACCCTTTGAACAATGACTTGCAGAACTAAATCATGTCCATGTTACTGTAGGCGAACTGCACCCTCTCAATCCTGGTGACAGCTGCTGCGTCAGCTGGATGTGGTCGAGGGTGTCGAGGTTTGTTTTAAGAATACTTCAGACCTCTACCGGCCACAGCCCGCAGCCATTTTTACTGCCAGTGAACGGAGGGTGTGGCAACAACTGTAATATGTTCCGACATGTGACAGTGTCAGGTCAGTAATGGACCAGACACTGTCACATGATCAAGGACATGCTTCATCATGTGGCTGGTTTGCCAGTCATCAGTGATGCTGCACATGGGACCATCAGGGAACAGAGTAAATAAAAAGAA